AAAATCGCTCAGGTTCTGACAGCCAAATGCACTAGTCCATCAATAAGTCTCTGTAGGGAAGTGGCAGGTTGGGGCTTTTAAAATTAAGAGTAAACAAAACAGTAGAAGACACAGGAGAGTAAATAGCCCTGATCTTCCCCAGTAGGAATGTAACAGATGATCCAATTGGTCTTTTCTATTTTTAGCCTCAGTTACCATAATCTTCATAGAGCTTCTGTTTGTAATAATTGTTTTTATTTGTTGCCAACATACTGCCCAGAACACTGCCAACCACTCACCTACCAACACCCCCAGTTCCCAAAAATACTCACAGTCTCCTTGTTCAGCTGCCCAAGCAGACCATGCTGCCACTCGGCTTCTGACATCCACCTGTGTGACAGTACCTGGGGGAACAGGAGCTGGTGCTTTCGGAGGTGGAGGAATAGAGCTGTCAACTTTGGAAATCATCCTAAGGAAACAGAACAAATCAGAGCTGAAGCATTAAAAAAAATCTCTCCTTTCTAATGTGTTATTGGAAAAGGCAGGTGGGCGTTTGGGAAATCTTTTTGTCAGACATAAAAAGTTAGCAGTACACAAGTCTGCAATTGTAAGAAAATTGAGCATACTTGAAAGGGTGATCCGTGATAAGCTCCCTGCCACTGCTAATTCTGTGCATATAGCAAACATGCACAAAGATACCAACAAAGTTTCCTTTGGTCATATGGAAAAGCCTTATAGAATTTTAGAAAGATTTATCTTCTTTCTACATAAGCAATCAGGCTATATAATTCTGTAGCAGAGATTAATTTAATAGCTGGAACATATCAGGAGTCAGGTCACCACATGCAGAGAGGGGTAGCCTCAAGCCTTCATTGGAAGTAAGCTGACAAAAGGGAGCACCACAAATTCATTATCAAGCCGTTGATTTTCTAAGAAAGGCTGTCAACTTTCATAGACAGTTCCTAGAATATCATGTTCAATTCTGGGTATTTCATTATCAAAGAAATTGATAAAAAAAATTTAAAAAGCTTATAAAAGGAAAAGTTGGGATGAATAAGTTCTCACAGCCAAATCCGCTAGCGCATCAATTTGTCTCTGTAGAAAAGTTGACAGCTTGGGGCATTTAAAATTAGAGTAAACAAAACAGTAGAAGACACAGAATAGCCTTGATCATCTTCAGTGAGGATGGAGCAGATAATCCAGTTGGTCTTTTCTATTTTAGCCTCAGTTATTATAATCTTCATGGTAATAGTTGTTTTTACTTGTTGGTGCCGCCTATTCCCAGCAATACTCACAGTCTCCTATTTCTTAAAGCTGAACTGATGATACCTAATGACTGAATTTGGAGGTGGGGAAAAAAAAACTATCATAGTCTGACTCTGCTGACTACAAATGCAGATTTGTTCCTCACAGTACATTTTCTAGCATTTTATCCCATACAATTGTAAATACCACAAACAATAGAGCTTCCCATCATTTTCCTTAGGACACTATTCAGTGGCCCGAGACACCTTACCATCACTCAGGTCTTCCTACCCACCATCATTAACCCTGTTTCTTCCCTTTTTAAACTTTGTTTTCCCTGTAAATAGTTTCTATTGTTAGTCAGTTGATTCTTCTAAGTAGTTAGTGTAGGTCCCGAAGGGACTTAGATTTGTATTGGGGCATGCCCTCTTGCCCAGGCTCAAAGTCGTGTCACAGTTGTAATTGGCCTATGCAAATGAGTGATCCTCACTGTGACTGTGGTGCTTAGCAAAGGCTCATAGAGTGAAAAGTGCCACATTTCCAGTCCTTCAAGCCTTGCTCATTTTAAGACTCCCCTAATAGAACCCACCTTAGCTCCAGTGCATCAGCGTTCAGATTTGGCACTGAGTACCAGTGCTTTGGTGTGTACTGCCCAGATGCTGCTCCACACAAGCCTAAGTAAGGCAAAGGCAAGTCCTTGAGGCAGGCCCAGAACTACAACCCCAGTGGACTCTTGTGAGGTTGTCCTGCAGACACCTCAGGCCCTGTTGGAGCATGGATCACCTCCTCATTCCCCAGCATGCTTGCGGAGCAGTGTAGAACAACTCTGGATACTGGAGTCCTTGCAGGAAGCCCAGGACCTACTGTCCATGGTGGTGGTGCTGCGAGTTGTGTAGCTGTAGGACCACATCATAAGAGAAAGCTGGCTATGGTACCACCCTGATTTCTGCAGAGGTGCCATTGTCTCTCCAGTGGAACATCAAAGCCTCACCTCTTCATGGTGAGAGCTGCACAACCCACAGCCTGTGGCACAGACCTCTTGAGCTGTGTTCCCTCTAGAATGGATGGTGTGCTTGGGACCACTATTTTCCATGGTTCAAGTGCTGTTGGACCTGTGGAAGTTTCCTATGCCATCCCAAGTTCTGCGTTCAATAGTAGTTATGTCAATGGCACCATCAGCCACCTCAGCCTATGCTAAATGCCTTCTGGCACTGAGGCTTCAAAGGCTCTCATCCTGCAGGTGGAGCAGATGGTGGAGATGCAGACTTCATCCTCCTCTGGTCCCAAGGAGGTTCCCCTGGTGCAGGCCTTCATGGGGGCCCCCACTGGAGGCAAGGAGGTTCCCCTGGTGCAGGCCTTCTCCTCCTTGCCAAATGAGGCCATCATGGGGGCCCCCACTGGAGATATCACTGGGTGATGCTCAGGCCCAGCAGGATTTCTTTAAGAGGGTAACTACTAACTTGAACTTCCAGGCAGAAGAACTCGAGGAGACTGAGGATACCCGCTTCAGGGTGTTTGGAGAAACAGCTCCAGCCAGGGTGGCCTTATCTCTCCATGATGGGATGGCCAAGATTGCTATAGCCTTCTGGCAAATGCCCTGCTCCGTTCCCCCAATATCTAAAAGAACAGAGTGCAAAAACATCATTCCAGTTAAGGGGCATGAGTACTTCTACTCTCACCCAGCCCCCAAATCCCTGCTGGTGCAGGCAGTCTACCACCAGGAAAGGCAGGGCCGGTCCAGGGCAACCTCAGGAAAATAAAGACTCAAAGAGGCTTTACTTATTCTGAACAAGGCTTTATTCATTCTCCAGCATACTGCACCGAGTGGCAAATGACCAGGCTCTCATAGCCCACTATATGATAAACATGTGGCAGGCTATTACCAAATTAGTCTCTTCTCTTTCAGAAAACTTGAAGAAAGAATTTCAGGCCTTGGCAGAAGAGGGAAGCAGTGGCTGCTTGAGTAGCACTCCAAGCTTCCTCAGATGTAGTAGATGCAGCAGGTCATTCCATGACTTCTGCCATATCCATGCGGAGGCTGCTTCTCTCTGCCCTCTCGCTAGAGGTGCAGCAATCTCTGTAGGATTTCCCCTTCGATGGGGCAGCCCTGTTTGTGTAGCTGATGGACGCTAAGTTTCATGGGCTGAAGGACTCCCTCATCACCTTGGCTTGTACATCCCAGGGCTGACGTGTAAGAAATGTAGGCCTCAGACCCCATTGGCTTGGCTTTCCCAACCTCACTAAGACTTGGGGAAGAGCAAGTATAAAGAGTTTAGGAAGAGAGTTCAAGACGCACTTTTATATGCAACCTGGCTCCTCCAAGCACCCCTTTTGAGTATATAATCAAGAATGAAGTACCTCTCAGACTGCTAAATCCTTCTCCTGTGACCTTCTTTCACCGCTTGCACCCTTTCCTCCTGGTCTTCTCCCCGAAACCTCATGTGACCACCAAGGAGAGGTGACAGCATGCCCTGGATAGTCTCAGGGCCCTTGTATTCTACATTGTCAAAACAAAGCTGCTCCACAAATCGCCCCAACAGATCTCTAATTAGATAACCTCCAGCATTCAGATATGCTATCCTGCTCAGCTACTCCTGCTCGTCAGACCAATGTTACTGTCCTGAATGTTTGTAAGGCTGAAATGTGGCCTTTGGTGTACACCTTTGTCATACGCTGTGCCCTGCTGCAGCAAGCCTGAGAGGATGTGGCCTTCAGAATAACTTAGTTGCAGTCAGCATGCTAGTGAACTCCTCCCACCTCTGTACACACTGCTTGCAGTCATATGAAGGGGTAAAGACAATTTCCTGTTTCTATAACTGGTGTTCTTTGACATGTGTTGCTCATGTCAATTCAACTTTCTGCCCTCATTCCCTGCTGTCAGAGTTGTCCGGCAAGAAGGAACTGAGGAGGGAGGTGCCGGAAGTGCCCTAGATAGCATGGTATGTACTAAGGGAAAATCTTCCAGCACCGGAGCACGTTGTGAGCACATACACCTATGATGAATGGACATGATCAACACGTCTCAAAGAACACCAGTTAGGGAAACAGGTGACTATCCCTAGCAAAAGGCATAAAGTAAACATAAGAACTTTTCTCCTTAGACTGACAACAAAACATATTTTCATATATGAGTGAAATAGTGCTTTGTATTTATCATGCCACTGGTGGTGATAATGCAGTTGTTTTGATAGTCTTATTTTCAAATTGCTGTGGAATCTTGTACTTATTTATTGCACATTTTAAAATACCGGGGAGGTAATCATGCAATAAGAAGCTCTATTATTTATATGAAATACTTAATTTTTTCCCTGCCTGTGTATATCAAGATTTGTAATTGGTAACATTTCATTGATCTTCTAAAAAGAGTAATATATTCTGTAATCATAGATTTTTAGAGTAGTCCTAAAAAAGCTGATATTTTCAAGTGTTAACATATCATGGTATCTGTTAAATCATACTTAACGCTTATACAAAGTATGTAAAAATAACACAGCGTCTTAGGTACAGAGCATGGAGTAAATTTTCGGAACCAGTTTACCTTAGGGGTCACTATTGTCTGTAGTATAGACAATACTTTTCAATTGTTTCAAACTGTAGCTTAAAAATTTCTTACTGTTCTTCCATAACAACCTAATTGTGCATGGGAGTTCTGGCTGAGTGAGGACTACAGAATTAGAATTGGATCTCAGCTCTCAGGCACATCTCAACTGGTTTTCAGTGTAAGTTTTGTCTCAGACAAGGTTGCCACTTAACGCCTATCCCATTTTATATTTTAGGCTATCATGCTCCTAACTGAACTGATCAGGGAAAATTTCAGGAACAGCAAATTGAAACAATGTCTTTTACCCGCCCTTGGTGAGGTGCTTTACCTTATAGCCAGTCAGGTAAGTTTATCGTCTTAATGTGTCAAATCGTTTTCACCGATATGTTGTCAGCCAGGCAGGGTCATCCCTGTGGGTTCCTGACCAGTCTTCTACTCTATCAGTGATGATAAGCTTTCGGCTGCATGCATTGCTCCCCTGTCTAATGTGTTAACCATGCACAATTAGTCAACACAATAGACTCAGAGAGAACCCTCAGAGACCATAAATCAGATAAGAATGGAAAGCACCCGAGTAGGTTGATTTGCCAAGTGAGGTACAATAATAGTTGTAAGAGAACAGACTTGCCACTGCATCACTATACATGTGTGTCGTGACAATGGACTAACACCCAACTAAATGCTCTGGATTCTAGTGTCCCTCCACAGTCAGCTGATGGTCACTCTTTCGGGTGCACTTTTATACACAGGTACAAACAAGTTCCACATCACTCCTGACATATCAAGTTATCACCCTCCATTAGCTTGTTACCACATCTTACCTCACGGGGGTGGGGGGCAGGGTGGCATTCCATTACTATCCATTATGCTGTCAATTTAGATCCAGTCTTGAACCTGGCTTGATATGTTTGTTGTTTGTGTGTGGCGTGTGGAGGGGAGGGAAGGGTGTTGGTACCAAGATGTTAACAAGGTGTTCTGTTACGACCTCCCTGAAATGTGCTTTCATCCTGTACCTAGTTCCTCTTAGGTATGAGTGTTTCTGTAATATCAGCCCTCTTCTTCCAGTTTCTATGAGCAGGGCCTGCCTCTTGCTCATAGCTTAACTTTATTTTATATTAGAAAAGTCTTGATCATTGCTGTCTAGGCCTCTGGCCTCCTACCCAGCCTGTAATACATGGGCTTATGTTTCAGACCCTCGTCTTACTACAAAGAATACATACTGTGTGAGTATTTTTAGCCACATTTTATTTGTACATCAAGTGCATACCTTATTAATGTTTAATATGTTCAAGTACTGACATTAAAATTACAGGGGATTTGCAAGTCTTGTAAAGGCTTACAGTGTGCTCACATGTTTGTTCTAACTCTCTCTCTCTATTATATTAGCTACTGCCATTAAGAGAAGGAAATGCCTGAAGCTCTTGTTTGAAATAAACTTTTAAAGTGCAACTTTTAAAGAGGCTAGGGGATTATTTTGTTGCCATTTTATATTCTCTCTACTTCTATGATCTGGCCTGGAGATTCATGAAGTTTTAACATCTTCATTAAATCTTTTATAGATTTTTTTTCATTGTAATTTTTTTCTGTTATCCCTGTTGATGCTTCTAAATATTCTCTGTTATTTCTAAACATTTATGCTTGCTTAAAGAGGCAATTTTCAAACTAAAATGAAGCATTTAATGCTTCTGATTCATGTGGTGGTATTAACCCCCCAGCCCCTGAAAGGAGGGAATATAAAGTGATGGCAGCAGGATTTGAAATGTTTTCATGGAACAGTGGGAGTTTCTCTAGTCTCATGAAACTGTCTTGCTTTTATTGCACCACCAGTGCTGTATTCACAATAGAAAATAGCTCTTTAAAAGTTACCTCTACGTTGTCAAAGCAGTGGATGGGTTTTACTTAAAACAAAATCAGTCTGTGTTTTCCATCTGTTAAAAGCTTCCTTCCACAATCACTGATTTCCCTCCATACTTATAATTCTATTCTTACATGATTCTTTCTGAAACAAAATACAGAAAGACTAACAAAATGGTTTATTAGATGATGAGCTTTCGTGGGCCAGACCCACTTCCTCAGATCAAATAGTGGAAGAAAATAGTCACAACCATATATACCAAAGGATACAATTAAAAAAAAAGTGAACACATATGAAAAGGACAAATCACATTTCAGAACAGAAGGGGAATGCGGGGGAGGAGGGGAAGGTAAATGTCTGTGAGCTAATGGTATTAGAGGTGATAACTGGGGAAGCTATCTTTGTAATGGGTAAGATAACTGGGGTCTTTGTTGAGACCCACGCGTAGAGTGTCGAATTTTAGCATGAATGACAGTTCAGAGGATTCCCTTTCAAGTGCAGGTTTAAAAGGCTTCTGAAGCAGGATGCAGGTAATTAAGTCGTTGAGACAGTGTCCTTTCTGGTTGAAATGGCAAGAAACTGTTTTTTCTTTGTGATCCTGTCTAATATCTGTTTTGTGGGCATTGATCCTTTGGCAAAGTGTCTGAGACGTTTGTCCAATGTACACAGCAGACAGACACTTTCGGCACATGATAGCATAGATTATATTTCTGGA